CAAATATTTGCATTCTTCATTAATAATTTTATTTGTACCATGATATTTTTTACAAAAAATATTTGTTATTTTAAAAAATATAAATTTGTGTCATTTCAAATAAAACAATATAATTTTTTTTGTAAACTATATCATCTCATTTAAAATGACATAAATTTATGTAATTTTAAAAAAGCTTTTTCCTATTTTATAATATCAAACATGGAACAAAACACTTTTATTCTGTCCAATACTTTGTTTTAAACAAATCAAACAGACCTACATCATAAAAAAACAAAATTACCCATCTTTGCATTTTGAGTAATTTTAATATTAAAATAAAAATATTTTAATATAATAAGAATTATATTTTAATTAAAATAATTTTAAAATATTTTGACGTCTGCCTTTTTATTAGTAGCTGCAAGGATATTGACTTTGTCTTTTTCAAATCAACTGACCTGTTTCATTACTGATGATTGTTTGTAATTTGAGTTATAGTATACACAGTCTCTGGAGATTGTTTGTTAAATTCAGATTAATAGTGTAGTTGTTCATGCTTTGCCTTTTCTCACAAGCATGCTCACACACCCAAGGATTAATAGTGTATTTGTTTGCTCAAAAGAACTATTTTTTTGTCTTTTTATAGCATTAACGTTCTGTTTGTTTTTGTCTTGGCCAGAAATTACTTCTACTTGATCCAATGATCCTAATGTAGAATTTTTTTAAAAAAGCACTAGGAATCTAGAATACCACCTGTATACCAAGTGCCACAATTTACCATTTAAAAAAGAAGAAAAACTAATCACAATATGGTTTCTTGGAATTACAACTAAGATTTCAAATACATTTTGCAATCAAACTGACAAAATACAAGACCAATCATCTCATGGTCATCTGTAAATAAACAGCACCCAGTTGCTTTTACATTTCCACAACACTGTTTTAGTAGTTCAGATGGATAGTGATCCTCAGCAATGTCTCAGCACCATCAGTGGAAATTTGCCCTGGTGGGATAAGACCTCTCAGTTCTGCAAACCCCCTTGCATTCTTGAACTTCCCTGTGCCCCCTATCACAGATAATTGTGACATGGTACTTCCAATCTTGTACAGGCCATAAAAGTTCAAGCTATCTCCATATTCCCCTCCTTCAAACAGGGCTGTGAATGACATCATCTGTCTAGTCCCATCTGCTGAACTTGCCACATACACCCCTTGAGCTGAAGCTGTGCATTATTTTGGTTGTTGTTGTTGTTGTTGTTTGAGTTTCCTGCAAAAGAAGTACCAGCCAAGCCAGTTCCTAGTGGAGTACCAAAAACTCCGTTGACAGTGGGAACAGCACCATTGGCATTGGGGATGGGAATCCCACCTTGTGGGGTGTTGAATCCTACTGGGGTTGCAAAGGGCACTTGACCACTGTATATGTTGCCTAGCAAGCCAGTTACGGGTCGAGCTGTTGGGTTACTGCCCCCAAGAATGTCATGCATATATAACTCAATGACTGGTTCTTTCCCAGTGGCTGCAACAGGATCAACTGCTGCTATAGTCATATGCCAAATGTGCAACGGCAAGCAACATTGACAGGGAAGCTGTAGTAAATGATCCCATAGGCACCTTGTTTCCAAGTGTTTCAGATGTAGAGGCTAGTTGATCTTCTAGTTGATAATGAATCTTTTTATGGATGATGCAATGGAATTCAAGTCTTGGTGTTATGTAGGAGGGAATGCGGAGTGTGTGTTGGAGTGGTTGTGAGACACGAGTGATAATGAAGTTGTTGAAATTTACAAGTTGATTAGTTGTGCCTTAAACAAAATAAATGAAGCAAAATCTATGTTTTGTGGCATTTTTCAGATGCAATGGAAGAAAGCCACTTTGCAATGTGGATATTTGTGTAGAAATACCAATAGTTTGTTGTGTCACAACCACTATATTTCTAAATGCTTTGCTTATGAAAGACATGTGCTAAGATACAAGGCTGAGGAAGAAAGTCAGAAACTAACTAGGTAGGTACAAGTACAGCTAACCAAAATCTCAACACAATAACTAATTGACCGTCTAATGACAATTAAAGTTTTCTTTTTTTAAGGTAAATTATAAAAGAAACCTTTGAGCCTTATTCCATCTTTAATTTGCATCTTAATATGTCAACTTGTGCAATTTATTCGCTTCACTTATTTACATGTGTGCATTAATAATTATGCTATGATCCCTTTTAAGATAACTTAATATACAACAAACAGAAAAATTAAAATTCAATTCTTATATCATTAGGTGAAGTTGATAACATGAGCTAATTTTGTTATTGGACTTTATCAAGTAAATTTCTTTAGAGCTGGGCCTTTTTTAACGATTGTTTCTTAATTTCTTAGGTATTGTTCTATTTTTAAATGGAACGTTTTCTATTTTATATTAGGGAAATAATTATCTCATGTTGCATGAGATAATTATCTCATGTAAGAGAGACAAAATAGTGGAGTCCATTATTATTAATTTTTTTTTTTTTTTTTCGAAAAAGTCGTGGACCCCATTATCTTGTCTCTGTTATTAATCTCAACATGAGATTAATAGATCCCTTTATATTAACAGTTTTTTTTTTCCCGAAATTTCTATGATTTTTTTATCATGAACAAACCAACTTATGTAAGTGTTTACCATCTTAATCTCAATAGTTGCCACTTTAATTTTCTTTAAGAAATATCCCTTTATAATCTTAATTATCTAGTATTTTCATACATGATTTACTTAAAATGACAATAAGAATAGTATCCGTAAGCACTAATAAAACACACACGATGCATTAAACTTGGGTTAAATAAAGAGACTAGGGCTCTTTTTGAATACTGTTTTCAAAAACAGTTTTTTAGTTTTTAGAACAAAAAACAAAAAAACTTGTTTGATAAGGTCTGTTTTGTAAAAAAAAGTTTTAAAAACTGTAACTTTTTTTTGTTTTTAGAATCAAATTTAGAGAACATGTCTGAGTTGTTTTTGTTTTTTGTTTTGATTTTTAACATTCAAAATAAAAAAAACATAGAAAACAACTGTTTCCATAATTATTCTACAAAACAGTTTTAAGAATAAAAAAACCAAAACACAACCAAACAAACCCTAGATCTTCTTTTCCTATTGCAATTTACCTGTATGCATTGAAAATTCTAATTGTACAAGACAAAAAAAATCAAAATAATGTTTTTTAATTAAATAATTACGCATTTATTGCAGTTTTGGGAAAAATTACAGATCTATTGCACCCTGTGATGCCCCATTAAGGCGTCTCACCCTAAGGGGAAGATGCCCAAACGAGGCGTCTCTCATGAGGTGTTGACACGTGTCACTTTATTTTCCAAAAAAAAAATTAATTTAATCATAAAACTTCTAAAGGCCATAACTTTTGACTTGAGTATCCAAATCAGGTAATTCTTTTTTGATTCCACATAACTTTTCGAGATCTACGCAATGACATCTCATTTGACATATTTTATTTCTCACAAACACAATTTTAATTTGCAAGAATGGTATTATAAGAGCGGTTAAACCCAGAAGCCTCTGAGTTCTGGATTTGTGATTTGTGATTTAAACTAAAAAATCAATTTGAAAAAAATTTGTAGAAATAAAGGAAATAATTAAATAAATATTCTAAATTTCTAAGGAAGAAGAATATTATTTTTAAAATTAATGATTAATGCTATAAGCTTCTGGGTTATTATTCGTCGTCTGAGATTAATGATGGCTTATGAATATTTTTTAAAAATAAAATTACCTAAATTAGGCGTGATTGCCTCTTGATTGAAACCCAATTTAGACGTGATTGGTGATGTGTTAGGTTTTGATACGTGTTGACACGTGTCACATTTTTAAACTCAAAAGCATCTGAGTTCTGCGTTTGTGATTTAATACAAAAATAAATCAAGATTTGATGTGTGATTTAAATTGAAAAATAAATTTGATTTGTGATTTAAATTAAAAGTAACAATTATTATTAATAAGGAAAAAAAATAAAGATTTGATTTGTGATTTAAACTCAAAAATCAATTTGAAAAATCTGTATTAATAAAGGAAATAATTAAATAAATATTCTAAATATCTAAGGAAGTAGGGGTGTTCGCGGTCTGGATTGGATCGGTTTTGGAAGCAAAAATCATCTGATCCAATCTTTTCGGTTTGATTATATAATCATCCATTCAGTTTGGATTTTTTTTCAAATCCGATCCGATCCAATCCAATTTCTTTCGGTTTGGATTGGATCGATTTTCGGTTTTCTTAAAATCCTAAAATTTATTTCATAATTATTGTGCAAATAGCATTTTTTGTATATATTGTATATATTGGCTTTGGAAATTATTATTTTTTTGAATTACAAAAGCATTAGTAAACTATAATATAGTTTTTTTTTTGTAATGAGATATGAAGCTCTACAAAGATAAAATTTAGTTGATGAGATATGACTAAATTTTTTCTTAGGTTTAGTTGATGGGTTAACGGGACTTGGGTTTAGAAATTTTTAAGCTATGATTAGATAAAGACCCAAGTAGGTAGAGGAAAATTAATATATTGGATCGGTTTGGATTGGATCGGTTTTCATCAACCCATCCAAAAACTGATCCAATCTAATTAAAATTTGCGGTTTTTTTTCGGTTTTCAATTTTTCTGTTTTCGGTTTATTCGGTTATCGATTTTTCGGCTCGGTTACCGCGGTTTGAATCGGTTGATGAACACCCCCTATAAGGAAGAAGGATTACCTGATTTAAATTTAAATTATGTTGCTAAAAGATAAAATAAATCAAATGAGATGTCATTGTGAGATCTCAAAAAGTTATGTGGAATAAAAAAAAAATTACCTGATTTGGATACTCGAATCAAAAGTTATGACTTTTAGAAATTTTATGATTAAATGGTAGGTAAAATAATTTATCTTAAATAAAAATGATACGCAAATAAAATAGTAGATACACCCCGTTAATTTTTTCTTTTCTTTTCTCTATATAAGAGGAGCCTCTCATTTTTTAACAAGAGTGTGTGATAGAAAACTTTTTCTACATAATTAACACTGTACTTTCTTCAGTGCAAAACAACTCCCCAAAATCCCTAATTTTTCCAACTATGGCAGATAGGATCAGCGTTTTACCGGACGAAATCATCTGCCACATCCTCTCTTTTCTCCCAACTAAAGAATCGGTTGCCACAAGCGTTCTCTCCAAGAGGTGGAACCCATTCTGGCGCTCAGTCCCCACCCTCCGTTTCTTCGAAAACACATCCCCTTTTGTTCGATCCGTTGGCGCATTTCTCCGCTCTCGAAATTTGCACCAACCCATAAAAACATTCAGCCTCGGGTGTACATCTTTTCGTCGTGGTCCTAACAGTGTCAACAAATGGATCAGCGCTGCACTACAATGCGGAGGGGTTGAGCACCTCGACGTCTGGTTTCTCTATCCCACCAAGTTATCCTCTCCCTTTCTCACCCACAGAACCCTCGTCGTTCTCAAGCTGACGGGTGTACATATTACAGCTTTTTCGTCTGTTGATCTCCCCTCACTCAAAATCCTGGAATTAAGTGGCGTTATTTTGGAAGAAAGTGGATATCTCGCGAAGCTTCTTTCTGGTTGTCCACTTCTTGAGGATTTGGTAGCTAACTCTGTATCTTTTGATGACTCTCCGAGTGTTGCAGAGTTTAAAAGCGTACCAAAGTTGGTCAAAGCAGATATCTCTAAACTTATTCTATTTGCAGCAGTTACCAATGTCAAATTTCTGCAGATACATTGGGTAATATGGTTTCAATATTAAATATTTATGTTATTACATCTCTAATATATTTAGGAGGTGCTTGGCAAAGAAGAATTTTTTTTAACTGGTAATTGCGATTTCCGGTGAATATATTGGATGGTATTTTTGGGTGATATTTTGGTTTACATTTATACAAAACAAAGTCTCAGGAAAATTATATTCTTGTAAAAAATATCTGAAATCTTCTATCAAATATGAATAAATTGAATTACCACCTTTATTTTTCCGGAAATCTGAAAATAAACCGTCTGCCAAACACCCCGTTATAGGTTATAATTTATGGTTTAGGAACATCCGGTGACACCGGATGTTGTTTTGGATAACCAGAGAGATAGAAGATAACTTAATCACCTAGAGAAATATTAAATCCTAATTATATTGTATCTAACAGTTTTTGTAACTTCTACAGAGGGATGTTATGGATCCGGGTAGGAACCCCTCTTTCAAAGATCTTGCTCTGGTGTTTCCCAATTTAATCCATATCAAATTCTACCTCTGTTATGCCGAGGATTGGCCTAAGATAGTAGAAGTGCTCGAGCATTGTCCCAAGCTTCAAACTCTTGTCATTGATGATGTCTGTTAAGTCTATGTCTTTTAAGGATGAATTTTGTTTCTATTTTTCTCTTCACATGATTTTATTGGTTTTGTTTTATGTCTATGGTTAACAGTATGGTTTCACTGAAGCTGACGAAGGAGGAGGAGGAGGAGGAAAATGGCCATACCCACAATCTGTTCCTGAATCCATTTCATTACAACTTAAAACATGCCGTGTTAATGATTATGAGGGCTCAAATGGTCTGTTTCAATTTGCAAGATATATATTGGGAAATGCAAGATTTTTACAGTCCATGACAATCCGCACTCCCTCTGACACAAATCCACACGCAAAGCTTGAAATGCTGAAAAAGTTATCTTTATGCCCAAGGTGCTCTGCAACTTGTAAACTGTCACTTGAATGATAGCAGATGAGATTTGAGTTCTGTGAGTAGTTATTTGACGTCTGCCTTTTTATTAGTAGCTGCAAGGATATTGACTTTGTCTTTTTCAAATCAAATGACCTGTTTCATTACTGATGATTGTTTGTAATTTGAGTTATAGTATACGCAGTCTCTGGAGATTGTTTGTTAAATTCAGATCTTATGCAAAACCATCAGGGTATTGAGGTCTAAATTGCAAATTAGTGTTTCTCATGTTGGTCATGCTTTGCCTTTTCACACAAGCATGCTCACACACACCCAAGGATTAATAGCGTAGTTGTTTGCTCAAAAGAACTATTTTGTGTCTTTTTATAGCATTAACGTTCTGATTGTTTTTGTCTTGGCCAGAAATTACTTCTACTTGATCCAATGATCCTAATCTAGAATTTTTTTTTTAAAAAGCACTAGAAATCTACCAGAAATTACTTCCAATCTTGTACAGGCCATAAAAGTTCCAGCTATCTCCATATTCCCCTCCTTCAAACAGGGCTGTGAATGCCATCATCTGTCTAGTCCCATCTGCTGAACTTGCCACATACACCCCTTGAGCTTTCCCAATTATTTGGGACCCCAACTCAGGTTGAGAAGTTAGGATATCATCTATTACAGTGATTGTTCCAAAGCCTAGTCCCAGTCCATCAGGTCCTACCTGAAGCTGTGCATTATTTTGGTTGTTGTTGTTTGAGTTTCCTGCAAAAGAAGTACCAGCCAAGCCAGTTCCTAGTGGAGTACCAAAAACTCCATTGACAGTGGGAACAGCACCATTGGCATTGGGGATGGGAATCCCACCTTGTGGGGTGTTGAATCCTACTTGGGTTGCAAAGGGCACTTGACCACTGTATATGTTGCCTAGCAAGCCAGTTACGGGTCGAGCTGTTGGGTTACTGCCCCCAAGAATGTCATGCATATATAATTCAATGACTGGTTCTTTCCCAGTGGCTGCAACAGGATCAACTGCTGCTATAGTCATTGCCTAATGTGCAAAGGCAAGCAACATTGACAGGGAAGCTTTAGTAAATGATCCCATTGGCACCTTGGTTCCAATTGTTTCAGATGTAGAGGCTAGTTGATCTTCTAGTTGGTAATGAATCTTTTTATGGATGAGTGCAAGGGAATGCAGAGTGTGTGTTGGAGTTGTCTCCCGTGAAAGTATTTTAACTTTTAAAAATGGGAAAGTATTTGTTTCTGGACATAAAATTATATCTAGTCAGTTCAAAACGACGTTGTTTTGGAGTTGTAAGATTAAAAAATTATAATGATAAAGACTAACATATATTGTTGATTAAAAAATTAAAGTTATCACAAATCATAATTAAATAAAATATTTTTATACTAATAACATAAATTTATATTTTTTTTTTACTTCGTACTTGCATGATATTATTAAACTTGTTCTAAAATAATTTTTTTATTTTCTTCTCTCTTTGATAATGGTAATCTGAGTAGCACAGACACGCTATTTGTAGAAAAATTTGCATGTCGGACACCGACACGTGACCGGCACGCGGTCAACATTTTGGGACACGTGGTCAACTTTTCGTCACGTATCGACACATTTTTTTGACACTTAGTCAACTTTTTCTGACACGCAGTCAACGCTCTGACATGTTTTTTTTAGTCTTAATTTTATTTTATTAATTAAATATAAAAAAATAATTTCTAGATCAATTTTTTTCTGTTACGAAATTTGACATGAAAAACTAACAAAGTACGAAAAATTATTTTTGTTTATATTTATGTTATGAAATTTGAATATTTGATTGGTTATATGACTTATTATGGACTGCTATATGTATTAAATATAAATTATATTATATATATTAAAAAATTTATTTAATATCAAAACGTGTCCCAACGTGTCAGAATACGACATTTTTTAGAATTAACGTGTCGGTGTGTCATGTCCCGTGTCGGTGTCGGGGTGAAGTTGAAGAGGATAATTTTAGTTTTATATATTTTATGCTTGTCTCATGATTTGACACATGACAAATATTCACATTCTTCATTAATAATTTTATTTGTCCCATGATATTTTTTAAGAAATTTTTTTTATCATTTTAAAGAACATGAATTTGTGTCATTTCGGATAAAATAATATCATTTCATTTAAAATAACATAAAGTTATGTCATTTTAAAATAACAAACATTTTTTCTATTTTATAACATACATGGGACAAAATAGTTTTATTCTGTCCACTATTTTATTTAAGGGAAAAGTATTTCTTCAGTCATAAGATATAAAGTTATCTCCAGTGAGGGAATAACCCTCATTTACCTGCTCTAACTGTCGAAATGATTTTGTCATAAACAACTCTCTGCTCATCAGTGAGGGAATTCAATAGTCTTTGATGCTCTTCTCCCAATGAAAATCTGTCATACATTAATTCATCAACCACTAATCGATTCTGCATATCAAGCAACGATTCACCCGTGATGCGAGGCATTGACGGGTAATCAGAGAGGCATTTACCATTGCTTTGCAGCACCTTATCAATTTCAGCAAGTGTTATGTTTTTTATACTTTCTTCTGTAAGAAGCGCATATGAAAAACCATAAAATACAAAGAAAAGAGAGAGTTAAAATTAACAAAGAGAAAGGTGTAAAGGAAAGAACAAAAGCGAAATAAATAGTATGAGATGCTTCACAAGTACACCACAACCCAAGCTTGATTAACTCGCTCACTGTTGCAAGAAGAGGATGCTGAAATCACAGTTCAGCTGAGTGTCAGCAGTGGGAATATGAAGAGACAATCTTATGAGTTAACATATGAAGAAAAAACATTATAGGTTAAAAAATGAAAAGACAACTCCTATCTTGGCGGGAAACGTTAAATGGGGTTCTTTTTTTTGCTGTGACACATAAATATTTTAATACAATTGGGAATGCTGATTCCTTGGCGGTACTGGTTTTGTTTTTTGGTGTCAAAACCGATGGGCAATAATTTACTCCCCACTTGGGGATGCTCACTCGATGCCAGGGAAGTTTCTTGATGCATGACCTTTGGCATTCAAGAATGAGTATAGTGTATATGATCCCTTTTCTTCTAAACCCTTCACTCACAGCGTCAATGAACAAAGAATGAAGCACATAGGAGTCATTTATGGCAATTCTATATCACAATCCAATACTCATTCATTGGTCTGTTGCAACGCGGATTACACAATCGACTTATATAATTAAAAGACTTTTTGAACCAAAATAGGAAACCAACCAAAACATTTTTTAAACCAACAAACAGTCATACTAAGTCATATTTGTAATGCGTCCATAATCACAAACTTAACACATATGAAAATTTGGATTAGTTATTATAATTGATGTAAGTAATTAAAAAAATCTCCAACAGTTTGTGTAGTTTCAAATTAATGCTGGATTCAATTATTTATTATCAAGGTGCATTCCAATAGACAAAGACTCGAAATTCAATTATATACAGGGCAAAAACATTCTCTGCTAATATGAGTCTTATTGTTCCAATGCATAAACTCTTGTCCATTATTTACTCTATAAACAAAATCGTATGTTGGGGATAGTGGGAAGTTGAAAACGATGACTGTTGAGAAGTGTGTTGAGTAAAATATCGCAACCCTAAACACACAAATAGCTATATATTTTTATATAACCATCAGTTTAAGTTGGGTCTGCCTTTTATTTCAAAACCAAATATTGTATAATTTTCAATTCTTCACATTCAGATTAATCATCCTCTACATACATGACACTAAATGAAATAAACTGTACAGTATATGAAAAAACACAAACCAAAAGAAGATAACAGTAACATTCATTAAGTTAAAATTGTACATCACATAATAACAGAACATTGAAAGATAAGAAACTACTAAATGCAACACATGAAATAACTAAACAGATAACAAAAAGCCTAAACCAACACCACCAGAAAGTAATTAGACTATAGTCATTATAAAAAATAAGTAGATCTCAAATCCGCTTGCAACGTTGACATATCTTATTCCCAAGCATGTTATTATCTCATGGTTCTCCGATGAGGAAGGGTCATCCTCAGTGAATCGTGTTTCACATATGCGGGGATTGCAAATGGGTATTCCGTGATAAACCATCTCCCTACGCACCCATAAGGACCTGATGAAAAGTCTAACACGTCGTCTGTAGTGCCTGTTGTTGATTTGAGTAAAAATAAGACTAAGAACAAGAATGTATTTTTATGGTTTTTATGATGAAAAACAAAAACAAAAATAGAGATTGATTTGTAAAAATATGAGAAAGCATTGTAGCTAGAGTACACTCACCAAATGATTCACACTTCTTACTCTGGATTGATTTACAACATTCATTTATATAATTACTCAGATAAATTATTATCTAAAAATATTTAATAGTTAACCTTCAATTCCTTGCAAGGTTAACCCTTTAATCCCAATTGGAACCCCAATTCCTTGCAATGTTCCTCATAGCATTAAGCAATGAACTCAATAATTTAAGCATCTGCAATCAAATATACATCTATTCTTAGCATGCATATAAATTGTTATCCTACCCCTTTCAAGATTAAAAACCCCAATATTCCTATCTAGGGTTCTAACCCTCAGACTATCATCAACTATTAGATTGATCAATTCTAATAAAGACAATATAAATTACGCACAGGGTAGAGATAACGATAATTATATAAACGAACAATCATAAACAAATCCGTTGTAACAAGGGTTCACATAGGGTTTGTGACCCTAACTACAATAAAAAATACCTAGCCAACCATGGTCATGACTAAAAATTCAATATTCAACATAAACTGATAAATGAAAAGGGGAAGAAGAAGATGAAATAGATTCTTGCCAGACTCTCTCTCTCTTAGCACTACCGTTGTCTCTCTTCAATAGAATAGGGATCCCCCAACTCTGTCATAAGCATCCTATATATATACCTCGCTTCTTTCTTTCAAAAATACCCTTCAAACAACACGGTCTATTTTCTCGCAAACCGGCGCGGGTCTGCGCCAGTGTGGCGCCAATCCGCGCCATAGTTTCGTCATTTGTAAAAACACGGTCCTGTGAAATTGTAAACCGGCGCGGGTTGGCGCCAGTGTGGCGCCAACTCTATGGAAATTGTACTGAGGAGCACGGCGCCATCTTGCGCCAACTCTCTGGAATTTGGCCCAAGGTTCACCCGTGTGGAGTCACGTCAACAAGCTTTTTACAATTTTGTAGTTTTCACTTCTTCTACCTATATAAACACAACCAATAGGTGAGAAATATCATTGACATGGAAAGAATCAATATAGTAAGCAAATATGTATATAAATTTCTCTTTTATGACTCAATTCTTATCAATTTCATCTTAGAAAACTACATCTGCCAGAGGCACATCAAATCATTCACAGATTTAAACGTTGTTGTCCCCAGCAATGTACAAGACTCAATCCGAAAAACAATCACTTAATCCAACATAACATAACATTACATAGACACTTTCAGACACAATATGCCATGCATGACTGACCCAATATCATAAATTCCCAACAATGTCATCAGCATTTTAAATATACAAGTCTACATTGATTACCCCTCACACAGATAAATGATATCCACTGGCACTCCGTGTTTAAGGGTATCATGAGCACTCAATCAATCACAACTATAACACTACCATAGGCTTGATCATATTCTCAAAGATTCTTAAAAATGAAGAATCAAACACATGCACCAATTGATCAAAAGGACTTCACAGGTTGTAACTTGGCCAAGTTAAAGGGTAGAAATATATGGATAGTAGCTCAAACAACAATGAGATTGAAAAACTGATACTTTTTCACACACTACCGCAACAGCTTTAGTTTGAACAGTAGAAAGTTGCATCTTATCAAGCCTCTCCGTCAAAGTTCCCATTTGCTGAGATAATAATTTATTTTCAGCTAGCATCGCATCATTACCTTCCAGCTGAAGGATACCTCTCTTAGGATTTGATGACAACACTTCATTTTCATTGGCAACCATTCTCTCAATCAGCTCAAGAGTCTCGTTTGTCCTC